ATTGATATATTTTTAATATATATAAATATACTTATATACATATATAGACACAAACACATGGACTATGCTCATACACATCCCCTCCCCAAGCATATTTATTTACCAAATTGTAATAAGTCAGAAGTTATCTTTAAAATGTATTTACCATCTGTGGCAGCAAAGAGTTCATAAAGTGCCTGGGCAAGAACATTTACTACAAAAGAATGAGATTTTTTTCTTGACCAGTAAAATGTTCTTTTTGCCTGAAAAAAAAAAAAAAAAAGTATTTCTGTCAGTAAATACAGAAGGGCATTCCAAAGGTTCTCAAAGAGGTGGTAAGAGTCATACTCATGAAAATGTAGAGTGGATCTAGTGATACACTAGATCGGTTCCAAGCTAGGTCATTAAGGGACTTTGGAAACTTGTTGAACCAGTTATCTAGGCTCCTCTTACACTAAATATAGAGATAAAAAAGGCAGTTCCAGGGTGTGCTTCATCTTGTCCTATAGTAGGTGGCTGTGGCAGGTCAGAAACTTTAAGGATAACACTCACCTAGTTCTCTCTGTTGTCTGAGAATAAGTAGGAAATAACTGAAAGCCTGAGGTGACTGAAATGAAAGTACCTGCATTTGGTCAGGTAAGTCCAGTACTGTCCTGACATTCAGGACAGTCCCTCTAAGTGCTTCTCAATTTTCAAGTACACTTTTTGAATAATTTCCTTGTAGTCTATAATTATTCAAGCTGTAATTTAGACAGGACAATATGCCTAACCTGATTAAAAGCAGTAAATAAGTTAATAAGGAATCTTATTATCTACTCATCAGAATTTTAGGTGTAAATCTCACTGAAAAAATAAACCCAGCATCAACACTGAAGGTGCTGATTCCTGGGAAAGGATATCTTTTAACTTACTACCGTGAGATTGATGCAGCAGTCAAGAGGCTAGTGGAGCACTGAGTCGAAAAACTCGGTACACATGCTCATTATTCTCTAAGTACCACACACACAAGAGTAGGGGTCCAAACCCACCCCGTTTAAGATCTATCTACGTTACAAATACACTACTAATATAGGAATATCAGGTTATACCAGCAAAGCACGCTGACTAGACATAGCACACCAGTCGCTAAGCGAAACAAGACAGGTCAGTAAGCAGTTTTGAATCTGCCCTTTGCCACACAGCCACTGCACTCACAAATCACAGCTCTGCGTACTGGTGAATGCCTGATGTATGATTTATCTATCCAAAGCTTTGAAAACAGCTGTGCTTCACTAATAATTTGCATGTCCCCAAGTTGTGTAAAACTTAAAAGTGTGTCATTAAATTGCAGCAAAAGCTGCCTAAAACAAGTCCAAAAATAAAGCTTCACCTTAAGAACGTCAGAATCTTCATAAAGGTCTGGAATATCCTGGAGCAAACTTCTCCATATTTTAACATCATTTAAAATAACACTCATTCCTCCACCAGTTAGAGGGTGTCTTATATTATATGCATCTCCTAAAAGGAGAACACCTAGGTAGAAGAGAAAAATTAATGGGATACTGCATGACAATTATGTAATGTGAGAACTCAAACCTGCTGTTTTTTAAAAAAAATCAAACTTACTAAGAATTCATTCCCACCAGAAAATAAGATAACAACTACAAATTAAAAAAGAAAAAAATAAAGGGAGAAAAAAAAAATGATGTCTTTAAATTAACAGGCTTAAAAAGGCTTTAAGATGATCAAGGTCAAAATACTTTTTTTCCTTACAGGTATGCATGTGTTTGTGTCAAAGAACACAGACATACACACACTTTTCAAGGTAATTTCTTTCCTTTTTTAATCAAGTTTTCCTTAAAAAGAGCACACTTGTATGAGCTTGAGCAGCTGAGCGATTTAAACTTAAAAATAAAGCAGGCACTGATTTGAAGTCTGGTGTCAATATAAACATTCCAGTTAAACTATGCCCAAGGTATGCATTTTCAAAATATTATTTTTCATCGAAGAATTATGAGACAACAAATGTTGTCTCATATGTATTGAACAACAAACGTAAGTCTAAGACAAAAAAGAGCACACTTGTATGAGCTTGAGCAGCTGAGCGATTTAAACTTAAAAATAAAGCAGGCACTGATTTGAAGTCTGGTGTCAATATAAACATTCCAGTTAAACTATGCCCAAGGTATGCATTTTCAAAATATTATTTTTCATCGAAGAATTATGTATTGAGCAACAAACGTAAGCCTAAGACAACAAAGCCCTAAGCCCCACAAGTTGTTTATAATGACTTTTCCCCTCCTTTTATTCCATAATACACACCTTTTTTGTTAACAGCTGAAGGAGGCAGGAAGCTGGCAGGCATAGTCCTTAAACGATCATTCTGAACTGCTATTAAGAATGGTTCCTTTAAGTGATCTGCAATAACCACATTTTTTAGTTACGCTACTTAGAGTCTAAAATAATTTGTACACAAACCATTTTAACCTCTTCTTAGAGATGCAATCCTGAATTGCTAACCTCACAGAGGTGAGCTGAACAAACTGCTACTTGATGTGGAACTGAAGAAGGGTGAATAGTTACTGAAACAGTAACTGTGCACAGGGAAAAAGGCCTCACAGTTCAATGGCTTCAATGAAATGTGCCTTTTCTGGCACATTTAATTGTGACAGATACGGATGGAAATCTTTCTAGACTTACCAGGTAGCTGTGGATGAATGTTCTCAATCATGTATTCTTTTAAATTTTTGGGCATTTCTCCTCGAATATCAACAAGGACCCGAGTCTCAGTTGAAGAAATCTGATAGATTAGCACTGGACTAGTTTTAGCTAAAACAAGTTCAGCATAATTAGCTTTAAACTGTGGTGCACCCTTAAAAAGAAAAGAAGGGAGGAAAGGTTGAGACTGACTAATGAAAGGATATTAAACTTCAGATATACAAGATCGTTTTCTGAAATACTTTGAAATAAAACCCCATATCAAATTAAGTTTGTGTTGTTTTTCTCTTTAAATGAACAAGAGAAATGCTGTCAAGAAAGTTCTGAACTTGAGTGTCATTACAATTCTTTTGGCAATACATTTTAATATTCACTAAAATGTATGTTAAGTTATTCATGTCATTTGAACATCTCACTAATATTTAATGCATGCCATTCAAAATCTGTAATGTAATCAATGTAGTAGTTTTCCATAAGATCGTTTTGGTTTACTTTCATAAAGAAGGTGGTGGGAGGGAAAGAAACGCACTAGTCTGTATACTACTACATGGAGATACCAACTGAGGAAAAATCATAGGGTCCTATCTAACCAGGTCTTAAACTAAGTTTCCAAAAGTAGAGAAACGGGAGGCACTTAGGCAGTGGTAACTATAGGGGCAGGGACCCAAGAACTGCTAAAGTTCCTCCAAGTCAGCGTTCCAGTCCAGTGAAAGTTCTGTAGTTTTGGTTCCTTCTCCCCGTATTATTTTTGCTGTTAATCCAATGGTTACTGCAGCACCCACACAGGGCATGACCCAGCCAGGATTCCTACCTGGGTTCTCCAACCACCCAGCTACCAACCTAGACTCCCGCTTTCTCTCCTGAAAGTTTGTAGGTCCTGAAGGTACATATGTACCTGGTTACAAGGTACCCCACCTTCAGGCAGGGGCACAGTTCGGGTATTCTTCTGGAGAATAAACCATAGGTGGTTTGACCCACAGCTGCTAGGAGGATCTACAACTCAAGATTTCCACTCCCTGAACAAGTATTGTGAAAAAATGAGTGTCACCATCTCAGCTACCAATATCTTAATGCAAACCAGTCAATGCAGGTATATCCAGGGATATAATTTTACAAATTGGGTTTCAGCTTTACAGTGGTGCCTACTTCTAATCCAGAAGTTAGAGCTATGTAAGATATAGCACTAATAGTACATGTAGCACTACTTTATATGAGATGCAGAAACCTTTTTTCTTAAAAGAAAAAAGAAAAGAAGTATTTTCTATTAACTGGTCTAGTGAGTCCAGTTTAAACTAGCAATGTTGAATCCTAATCCAGTTTTTTTAAACCTTCCCTTGTTCAACTATATGCTTAAGATTGACACTGTACTCCACTCTTAAAACTAAAAATCTAACTTTTAACAACAATTTCCACTTAAAAAAAACCCCAACCAAACCACAGAACCCAAAACGGGCTCACTGTTACTTAAAAGTGTTTTAAGAGTTGAAAATCTGATCTGTAACTGTATCAAATATTTTAAGTCTGAGATAGCAAGTTCAGCTATCCTACAGCTGGGACGGAGTACGCATCAGTAATTTAGGAGTTAAAAATATAGACCAAAATTTCCAAGTATTCCTCGAAGGGACACAGAAACTGACGGAACAGCTGGAAATATCTAAAAGAATAATTCTAATTGATTCTGTTGGCAAAGATAATGAACGACAACATATTCAGTGAAGTTCAGACCCACATTAAGAAGCGGCAGCGTACTGGCTTATATAGTATTATACGTAAAAGTTACCTTCAAAATGCAACCAACAAAATGGGATGAAACGGTTACTTTGTTGGAGACTAGGTTTTTTCTAAACTTGGAGAAGAGTCCATCAGCTACAACAGTAAGTGGTGCATGAAGTTCCTGCGGCATAAAGAAAAAATAAAAAAAAAAGATATGACATTTTCCATTTTGTTTCAGAACAGTGGGAAATAACTCCCAAGCTCTCATTTTCAACTGCACTTTAGATGTTCTACAAAACAAGAAACATTTAAGAGGATCACAGACCATATTTATAATATATGTATTAAGAAATACAATATTTTTTCCCTTCTTCATATTTATATTTAACTCTCTCTTCTAAAAGCTGATCTAACAATATACTCCAGCTTTTTTAGACATGCCATCAGATAACGTAGTTATGGGGACTGTGTAGGATCTTGGATTAAAAAAAAAAAGACAAGAAAGTAGAGTAATTGCTCTCTTCGGCCTATAATGCTCTTCAGGAGAAAAAAAGAAAACAAACAAGAAATTTTAAATTAAAGAACAACGCATAAGGAACTAAGCAAAAATAAAATGAAGTGTAACAAGTTGAAATGCAGGAAGCATACCAAGATCGTCTTTAAAAGACCAAGCAGGGAACTCTGAGCAGTTCCTAGCACACTTAGGAACTATAAGAACAAATAGCATATATAGACAAATACAAAATAAAATCTGAGTAAACTGATCAGGTTCAGCCTGAACATATGCATAAATTCCTCCTGTTTAACACATACATTGTTCTCTAACATAAACAAATTATTCTGATTATTAAAATATTTATTTTTAAGCATTTTACTGTTACAGTAATATAACAACATTATTATACTAGAAAGCATTTAGAGGTAGATGTTTCTTTCTACCTACAGCTTTCTCAATGTCAGTATATTGAGTGATTTAACTGCAAACGACTATAGATTTACATTGAGTGCTAGTCCTTGGCCTTCCATAATCTCACTTATTTGGCATGAGCCGAAAATAACGGTTTTCCTTTTAAGCTTTCAGGATGTAAGTAACAAGGCAAAAAAAGCATGCCATGTTTCATTAGTACTCCTGGAAATATTTCCTATTGGATGGAAGCATCTGATGAGCCAGTATGTGACTAGGTTCCTCTACCAGCAGTTCTCTCCTACATAGGAACAGACTCAGGCACTTGTGTCACACAATCCTTACGTCTTTTGCTGTGTGAAGGGGAGTCGGACAAAATCAGAGAGTAAAATAATAATATGTTTATGGCATCTGAGCTTATAGAAGTGAGTAGAGCTCAGAAAACCTCCTTCTATGTATTTCTGTCTCAGATGATTGCAAGCTCTAATTACTCCTGCAATTAGAGCAAGGTCACCTGCCCACATGGGTTCCCTAGTGTCTAATGATCTGAACATTCATGCTACAATTTTTCCACAGTCAACATACTAAGACCTTCACTCTATTCAGTTGCCTGGTTTTGATAAAGTTTATAAGTTGATTTTTAGCATACTGGCTAATTTCAACCTCATTTAAGAGAATACAAATCTCAAAGGTAATGTGGTAGACCATGGGGATGGAAACAACAGAAAAATACAGACACACAACATAGATCAGCCTCCTTTCTTTATGAAAGCAGGCTAAGAAATGTAAACAGGCTTTGGTTTGGGGTTTTTTTTTTCCCCTCGGTAGTTTCCCAGCTGTAAAAAGTCACAGGTAGGGAAACACAATTAAGAAGAAATGTTTCATGAAAGTTTCTTACACTAGATTTCTACAATCAAATGAAATGTAGGCCAGCAAATGAAAAAGCTCTTCCCAGCCACAGAACTTCAGCATTCAGAGCAAAACATGAATTTACTTATCCCTGTTATACAGATAGGAAACTCAAAGCCTTAAGAATATCCACGCTGTCAGGAAAGATGCAGGCTAAAACAGTGGTCACTCTACTGGTGGTCATATAAGTCACAAAATTGCAACAACATCCATAAATGTGCAAAATATACACTATTCCCCTCCACCGCCCAAACAAAATAAAACAAAACCCCTTCTACATTGCTGGATGATAAAGTCAATTGGATTTGGGAAAAAAAAAAAAAAAACAAATCAACAACCCCTCCACCTCCCCCAAAACCCCTGCTCCTCTTCAAACTCCCTGGCTTTCCAGTACCCATGCGTGATTCAATGGCTTCTTCTACTAGAGTGGATTTCCTAATATAGCATCATAGAATGGTTGGGGTTGGAAGGAACCTTTAAAAATTATCTACTCCACCCCCGCTGCAGTGAACAGGGGACATCCTCAACTCAATCATGTTGCTCAGAGCCCCACCCAGCCTGACCTTGAACACTTCAAGGGATGGGACAACTACAACCTCTTTGGGCAACCTGTGCCAGTGTTTCACCTCCCTCATCCTAAAATATTTCTTCCTTATATCTAGTCTAAATCTACCCTCTTTGAGTTTAAAACCATTACCCCCTTGTCCTATATATGATTTTATTCATTTTACATGACATGTACAACAGACCAAGGAACACGACTTGGAACTCGCCCTTCCTCCAGCTACCTCAAGAGGGGTCAAGGATGTTGTTTCCACTCAGCTCTCTTACAGCTTCCTACTTACAACACTTTGCCATCAAGTGGGCTGAAACATTTTTTGCCTGAAAAGGGTCTAAAGCCAGCGAGCTCTCCTACATCTTGGGTAAGTATTTTTAAGAGACTCTTTTACATGTGGTTTTATACCACTACTTCTACTTCTAAAGGACCTAAAGATGAGAGATTTTGTTAGTAATGCTCAGAACAGGATCTTCCAACTACTCAGGGACTTTCTCAATCTTGTATGGAGGACAGCAGAACACAGGTAGGAGATTCCTGTATTCCCCATCAGAGCACATTTTAAGTTCATCGTTTCATAGCATTTAGCCAGCAGTTTAGCATTAATTTAGGCAAAGAACATTAATCAAATCAGTAACACCAATAAAATAGGCCAGAACTCTATTTCTGTGATCCAAGAAATGACTGGACAGAGCTATCTCTATGAATAGCCACCTATATTCTTCTTTTCAGACACCTCAGTGGATGGTGGAAGTACATGTGGAAATATAGACCATCATACACAGGCAAAGCACAAATCTTAATATATTGTTTTTTCTACCAGTAACTCTCAAAAGATTTTAAACTCCAGACATATGAATATTGAAATAAATCATGAACTGAATTCTCCAAAGACACTGAAAGCAGAAGCTACACAAGCAGTTACAAGAATTCCCATATGCCGGGACTGTATCCACTAGAAAGTAATCTCCCTTTATTAAAGCTTTCGCTTTCTTGATAACTGCATTATTTCCCTACCAGTGCTCTAAAATAGAGATTTTAAAATATATATATATACACACACACATATATAAACCAACCCTTGATTTTCTCCATAGTTTAACAAAGATCATAATAGGAAACTGTCTTACCTTAGTGTCTCCAGTTGCTTTGTCCTTGTACTGAACACCCACGACACAGTCATCTTCCTCAAGCAATTGTAACACAGTCCCCTCAATGAATTTTGCACTGAAATAAAATACCGGGGTTAGAACAGAATGGAAGAGGATTAATGATGCCAACATTTCGAGGTACTAGACACAGAAGGAAAACCACATTTTCACTATCTTGACTCTGCTGACAGTTTGTTTAAACTTTACAGACAAAGATGTGTTCTTCACCACTTTCAGAAACCACATTAAACACCAAAAGTGCTTGTCATTCATTTCAGTTCAACACTACCATTTGGTTTGATACCTGAGAATGTTCTGTAACTGTAGTGCTTATCTTAAACCACCTAGCAGAATCCCCAGTTGTGCTTCACGTGCTCCATGGCCATGCGAGAGATGCAGAGAGGAGTGTGACACCTCATAATGGTCAGAAATCAGGAAGCTGACTGAGTCATCCCTGCTAAGTGGTAGGAGACGCTGACAGTGCGGGTGAGGCCTAACTCCAAGCAGAATTCAGGAGCAAGATCCTAAGTAGCACTTCAATACTTAACATATATGCTAGATAGAAGTGAGGTATCTAATTCTCAGAGTAGTCAAAAATAATCTAACATGTTTAGGACATATACATCTAGCTTGTCACCTCAGGAATTCAGGATACACTTTTTTTTGGGGGTGGGGGGAGGAGGGGAGGTGGGTATTATGCTTTTAAAAGTCTTATGTTCAGAGTTTGGACTGATTATCCCTTACTTTTACCTCCCAGCCAGAGCTATCTGGGGTTCACAAATTAAATCTCTGTAAACTTATATCCCTTGTTGGATCTGAGCTGTTAGACCTGATCCCAGCAATTTGGACTTGGCAGCTAAAAATGGACACTCTCTCTTCCTCACAAATCTTTTCATATCCAGATGGGATTCCACAACTTGGAGAAATGAGCTAAATGTCCACATGAGAATACAACAGCTTGATATTTTAGGCTCGCAGAGGGAACATGAGCAATTGAATTTGTGTCTTTTCTACACGTCAGCCAGCACAGAAATTTCAGAGCAGATTGTGACTGCCTTAATTTGCCAGGCAACAGGCAGGTTGGCTGTATCAAACTATGAATGGTTATGCGTAAGCACACTAAGATTAGCTTCAACAGCAAGGGAGTGCAGCAACCTGTCATGTTAATAGCAAGTGAATCAGAGTTCCGTGGATCCTATTTGCTTTAAATTTCTTTTATAGTTGTCATTTCAGTTATCTAAGTGCTCACTTCTTTTGCTGGTTCTCACCCACTATAAAAATAATTAACTAATGATGCCCTACCTCTTCAAAATTGCCCTTCCTGGCCCTTCCTCTGCCAAATTAATTTTACTCATCTGAAATAAATTCATATTGCCTAGTACTTACAAAGAGGATATATTAATCAGTAATAATTATCCCCTATATTTTCACAAGTTATGAGATGGAAAACAAAGTCTCATGACCCTCTTAAGAGTTCTTGATCTCTCCCACAGCTTAATTTAACATGCAGTTTTCTAGGCTATAATTAAAATGGAAAGCAAACATACACAAAATGAACACTAAATAAAGTGTGGAAAAAGGGGAAAGAATTGAATTCAAGTTACAAACATTAGCTTTTATAAGTTTCTGCTTCAAAGACTGTGTACAGCTATGGGAGTATTCCCATAAGTTGAACAAACAGGTGCCCAAATTTCACTGAACTCAAAGCCTCAACAACAAAGCTTTAACTTTTATAGCTAGTAAATGTGGGTGTCATTAATTTAAACTCTACTACAGAGCTGCCATCTTTTAGTGCTACTTTAATAATCCATATGATATAACAGGTACAATAGGAGAATGCAATTTTCCAGTTCAGAATAAAGACATGTAAGGTAAAAAGATGATAAACCCATGTTTCCCTTGTAAGCCTTATTTTGGGGCGGGGGGGAAAAAGGACAAACCAAAAAAACACCCCAAAGAAAACAGCACCTAGAATCTATCCTGTTTCAATAAAAGTTTCCTTCTCATCTCTTGTATAAAAGAAAACAGCTAAAGAGGAAATACCAAACACTAATTTTTATTTCATTAGGAAGAGAAGGTGTCTTCAAGATTCTGAAAAACAGGTTAATAACTGGAAAAAGCTACTTCCATTTAGTGTTCCTTTCTAATTGTTTTGTTTGATTTCTTGTTATCAGAAAAAGCAAAACAACATGCAAAAGCAGCTTGATTTTCTGGCATCACAGATAACATCAGTGGAAGAAATAAATGTCCCTGCTCATTGCAGGAGGGTTGGACTAGATGACCTTTAAAGGTCCCTTCCAACCCAAACCTTTCTATGATTCTAAGAATTGATACCAGATTTGCAACTTATTTATTGACCAAAGAAGTTCCATGCATTGCTCACTGAGAAAAGGTCACTTTTTCTGGTAAAACGCTAAACCCAAGAATCAGTAGAAGAGAATCAACTCTATCCCTGAGCTGTTCTCTCACATATATAGGCCAGTACCCTGCCTAATACTTAAAGCCTTTATTCCCATAAAGATTAACTTGTCCCAAAGGCTAATGTATGATGTATAGGCAACTCATGAACATGTCTACAGAAATCAGAGTGAGTAACTATAGCTGTTACATTCTCTCAGTCTTGTCCATTGCAGCCTTCTGTGTTGGGACAGAGTGAAATGGTTAAGGAATCTCACGGATGCTGGGAACAGTGCTTCTGAATCCCTGTATCCCAAGAGGTAACTCACTTGGGCTCTGCCATAGCTGCCCTTCGGAGACCCATGATGAACTGGCCATGATGAAAAGATCTTCCACTCGCCACACGGCCATCCTCAGATGTTGGATAAGGAATTTCAACCTCCGACTTGCTCTCGATGTCATGAATTATGTACCCATTTACTATTTGTGAATCAATACCTTCTACTGTATCTGCAAAATATAAGCCAGTAGATGAGTTTTAAAAAAGTTTTTAAGAAAGCTTAATTATGTATTAGAAGTATTTCTTTACATAAAGTCCAATTTTCTTAATCAAAACACACACATTGAAGGACAAATCTTTTCAAAATGGCAGATGGAAATACGCGAGCAATTTTAATTCAAATATTAAGTGTAGATAATGTATTTCTTCATTTTCCCTGTAGGCATGCTTCTTCTAAAAATGTTACTGAGTGTAGTAACTGTTGTGTTATAGATATATTTACATTTTGAAATGCACTCACCTTCAAGACCCAAGTCTCTAAGTGCATTAAAACCTCCAGGTTGCAACAATTCTCCAACTATCCTGTCAGGTTCTTTCAGATCCCTCTCTATCACAGTCACCTTTCTTCCATCCCTGGAGAGCACCGTGGCCAAGGAAGAACCAAGGACACCTGATCCCACAATGATAATTTCTGGATCGTATTGGGGAGATAGTGTTGTATTTGGAGCAGTGTCTGTCAGATATACATCTGAGTTTACTTCTCTTTTACCCTTTATGAAAGAAAGACAACAAAGTTACATGTGCCAATGTATCTGTACCATAATCCCATCAGAGGGCTGACTTTGGACTCGTTATACTTTGACTCAGGGGACTGAGAGCACATTGGTAGTTGGAGACCATCTTCTGGTTTAGTTTTGTCCAAAATTAAATCAGTTGTACTCTACAATGCAACAAAAAACACAAGCAGCAGAGCAAAGAAAAAACAACTGGCCCCATCCCCCAAAACAAAATCAAAATACTTGCTTAAAACTGCCCTGCTAATCAAAGACAAACCACTAACATAGTTTCAGATAGACTGAAAGTCAAGTTCCTATAAAAGGTGCAAGCCAAGGCTGTCCCATACGCTTATCTATGAGGTAACATAACAATGCCTTCATACCAGTGAGCCACTACTACATGGAGGCCTTAGCACTTTGCAATGAAAAAGATATCAGATTCACTGGAAAATGCATTTCTCTTTAATTTTACTGTAAGTGAACCTACCTATCAAAATAACTGCTTACGGTAATACTCAGCATGGAAAAGTGTCAGCAGAAGCAGCTACCTGGGAAATGTTACAAAGAATTGGTCCTAAAGTGAAAACTCTTCAGACAGTCAAAGTATGGGCAAAATTACCATACAAGTACATTTAAAACTGTCAAGAAATTACATACTTCAACTACGTATCAATTAACATATAAACTAGTACCTGAAGATAAATTATGTTACAGTACCTTCCCAATAGCATCTCATCACCTACACTTCAAAGTGAAAAAAAATTGTAAGGGCAATTCCAGTGCAAACCTGCAAGTCATTTCTCCAGCTGCTAGAATAGAGTCTAATTCACTCTTTCACAAATGCCTCAGCACTGCAGCGCTGACAGTGGTAAAAATACAACTGCATCAGTGAAACAAATGCCCAGAACAAATTGACACCAGGATTTCTAGTGGCATAGTGTTGTGTTTTAGATCTACAATGCAGCAAGGGTGTGCAAAACTAATTATCTGAATTCAGATAATACAAGAAATTGGGGTAAAGCAGGCTTTACCAGAAAAAAAATAATTTAAAAAAATCCAGAACCTTTGACTTGCAGCAAAAAATAGTTTCAAGTTGTTTTGTGCAAGGGGTCAGTGCCCAGCTGAAAATGCCCAGAAGCACACAGGAAAGTAGCCAAACAGCGCAGACCCACAGATGTACTGAGTCTGCACGTCCATCGGTAGTCTCAGATGGCAGGACTCCAGCCACGAACTGCAGCTCTCTCCACTGTCTCACCGCAAGTCTCACACTGGGCTCAGTGGAACGGACTGGCTATCTGAGCTCAGGTTCTGTAGCTATTGTACAAGCAATAATTTAGCAGTAATTTTCAAATAACCCTATCTGCAGTTGTCTAGACAAATGTATTTTTTCCAGAAATATTAGGAAGCTGATCACAGCACCACAGAATGGCTGAGGTTGGAAGGGACCTCTGGAGGTCATCTGGTCCAAAGTCCCCCTCTCAGGCAGGGTCAGTTAGAGCAGGCTGCCCAGGACCACGTCCAGTTGGGTTTTGAGTATCTCCAAGGATGGAGACTCCAACACCTCTCCGGGTAACCTGTGCCACTGCTCAGTAACCCTCACAGTAATAAAGCGTTTCCTGATGTGCAGAGGGAACCTCCTGTGTTTCAGTGTGCCCATTACCTCTGGTCCTGTCAGTGGGAACCACTGAAAACAGCCTGGCTCTGTCCTCTTTGCACCCTTCCTCCAGGTATTTATGTACAGTGATGAGATCCCCCTGAGCCTTCTCTTCTCCAGGCTGAACAGTGCCAGCTCTCTCAGCCTCTCCTCATAGGAGAGACGCTCCAGTGCTTCATCTCTGCACTAGACTGGCAATTGAAGATGTTTTTCTGCCACTATAATAACCCTTTACTACAATTCTTTTGTCAAACACATTTGATTTGACTCTACAAAACCCCTGGTCTATCACTTAAATAAGTTTCACTGTTTCTTTTGTCATTCAAAACTAAGCATTGACAAATCAGACATCCAGCATCTAAAGACAAACCCTCTCCAACCCTTTCTTAGCTCCTTTCCCTCACCAGGGCAGAGGGTCTGAATTGAACCTACCTTTCTGGATTTGGGTTGTTCGACTTGTTGAGATCCTGGGGTGGGTTTGGCCCAGAAGAAGCCAATAAGTGGTAAAGCTGAGAGAACATCAGAGAGCATTCCCATGTGGGTCTTCTGCTGCTGCTGCTGTTGCTTGGGCCCCCTGAAGCGGTACCTGTACGATAGCAGCAAGCCAAGGGAGAAAAACACTAACACAGAGAGTAGCACCTCCTTATTAGCGTAAGTCATGAGGTCTCCGCACTTTTTATACACGTAGATGAAGGAGGCAATACCCAGAAAGGTCCACATCGTGAGGGGACTGGTCACTGTTCCTGGTTGCTTCCTCCAAAGCTTTCCCACTGACGGATGCTGCCCAAAATGGGTTTTAGCACAAGGTATGAAATATATAGAGAGAAATGCAAAGATTTCCTTAGAAACGGAAGGGAGGGAGATCTCAGTGAAAAAACACGGGGCTTCACAAAACCCTGTAGAGGAAGAAGCCCCACCTTGCCGGGCTGCCACAGGAGCCCAGAAAGAGGTTCTAAAAACACACACGCACAAAAAAAATCAATATAAAACGTCTTCCTAAAAATCGCCGAGCTCCGCAGAGCACCTAAGAGAAGCGCTC